GCAAATTCATCAAGCAATGATGTGAAATTAATACACTTGAATGATTGTCTGACATGGGTAGTAGACACATCTTCTTATGATGATGTTGTTGTCGCCATATATGAAGTTTGCCAATAACTCATAACCCATATCCTTAGGTGGCTCCCTTCTGCCAACTGTGAAGCACTGGTCTTGTATTCTACTACAGGCTTACAACAAGGTCCATCTACTCTTTCAAGGAATACAACAGAAAACAGAGATGCCAAATAAATCCAATTGTTTGCAAAACCTAAACTTTTGAAAAAATAATAACAGTTTTTTTTATAAGGCCATATATTTTAATCATGCCAAGTGCAATTAATTCTGAGTAAAAAAAATAGTTTGACTTTCTGTGAGAAAGGTTTCTACAAATAATGTCATTTAAGCTATCAATTAATGTAAATGAGAAAAGAATTGATCAGATAATTTCAACACAATCTATCCATCATTAAAAAACAGTTCTCATTTCACCATGCTCTTGAATTGTGAACCTGACTTGTCAGAATGGTCCTGAATAGAAATTATAGAAGATGAGAAACAACACATCATTCCGAATACATAAAACACTTGATTATAGCCATGAGGAAAGTCTTTTGAACACAATAGCATCAACTGATCGACCATCCACCTCCAACTCCAGATCTCGTTACCCAGTTTTCCAGTTTTCAATGACAGACTAATCAGGTGACCTCCTGTGAGATAGTACAGAGTTGTGGCATCTCCAGATATTCTACAATAAATGTGCAAATTCACTCTGGATTTTGTCCCGCATGTGCCCTGCCACTGAATCTTGTGAACACAGCTGTGATCCTAATGGCATTCATTCTTTCTTTAATTCTCCATGTCAACACATCTGTCACAGCAACCCATGCTTGCCGTCAAAGGCGACTATGCTCGTTGTAAGAAACGACTAATGGGATCATGTGGTCCGGCTCGTTGACCTGGTTGATACATGTCATCATATCCCAATTGCATGGATCGATGCTCATGATGTCAATCACTGAATTGTCTTGTCGAGATGCGATTGTTTACCGACCGCCGTCATATAGCTGGAATATTACTGAGTGCGGTGTTAAACAAAAAAAACAAAAAAAACAAACAAACAAACAAACAACACATCTGTCACAGACAGCAGTCCATCCATTTCGTCAACAGTCCACCATCAACGTGACAGACCTTGCCGTCAACCTCCAGTCATTACCCACTATTTTACATATAAAACATATTAACCCATTTTTCAGCGACAAATTAGGTTAGAAGCCTAACAACTCTATCCACTCACCACTCATTCACCTATCCATCAACATAAGATCCCTACTAACATATAATTCTCCAAACTACCCCTCACTGAACAAGCCAGCCCTCACCAAACAGGATGTCGACGCCCCTTACTGAACAAGCCACCCTCACTGAACAAGCCAGCCTCACTATACAAGCCACCCGCTGTAAACAAGCCAGCCCTCACCAAACAAGACGTCGACGCCCCTCACCAAACAAGCCACCCTCACTGAACAAGCCACCCTCACTGAACAAGCCACCCTCACTATACAAGCCACCCCGCTGTAAACAAGCCAGCCCTCACCAAACAAGCCACCCTCACTGAACAAGCCACCCTGCACTAAACAAGCCACATTCACTAAAGAAGCCACCCTTAACTATACAAGCCACCCTCACTAATCAAGCCCCTCCTTACTATACAAGCCACCCTCACTATACAAGCCACCACTCACTATACAAGCCACCCCTCACTAAACAAGCCTCCCCTCTCTATACAAGCCACCACTCACTATACAAGCCGCCCTGCACTAAAAAAGCCACCCTCACCAAACAAGACGTTGACTCCCCTCACTGAACAAGCCACCCTCACTATACAAGCCACCCTGCACTAAACAAGCCACATTCACTAAAGAAGCCACCCTTAACTATACAAGCCACCCTCACTAATCAAGCCCCTCCTTACTATACAAGCCACCCTCACAATACAAGCCACCACTCACTATACAAGCCACCCTGCACTAAAAAAGCCACCCTCACTAAACAAGCCACCCCTTACTAAACAAGCAACACTCACTAAACAAGCCACCCCTTACTATACAAGCCACCCTGCTGTAAACAAGCCACCCCTCACTAAACAAGCCACACTCACTAAACAAGCCACCCTTACTATACAAGCCACCCCTCCTCAAGCAAATACTCAACAAACATGCAGCCCTAGATGAACTAATACCCAACAATTAGATAGCCAGCCTTCATATAAACACTGCACAGTTGAATCAAAATTTAGCCAAAGAACATAAATAGATCCCAACCTCTACCTATCCAAGCACAACTACTCAATAGCAATACTGTGAAACCAATCATTCCAATATTTCACATGAGGCCCTAAAATAGCATCCCATCTACCTCCCCGTCCCACGCCCCCCTCCCCCGACCTCATCACAAAGTGACATTAGTCGTTTACTGCTTGTCTGAAACCTGGATCCAGATATACACCACTAAGTCAGTGTTCCGACAACCTGATAGATTTTTCTCGGAACCTTCCCAGTATTCATAGCATTTTGACCAGAGTGACGGACAAGCACTTAAATTAAATTGTCGGCAGGTTGATGCCAATATCGTTGGTATTGATTTTTTCCTGGACCGAGCGTGCATACTAAGAGTAGGTGATGGTAAGGTCATCTGACCACCAGTTATCTCCCTTACAACACAGGACTGACTCAAACCACAAACCACAGTGGGATTTTATGTCACCAACACTGACTGAAGATTTTTATATGGAAAGATAGGGAAAAAAATTATTTTGACTAAGATTGCACAAAGAGAAAAAGAAATTGTTGAATATTCTGAAAGAATGTGTTATGAGAAAACATAATTGTTCGGTCTTCTTTTCAGAGAAAAAATTGTAGTATGACTCAGTGAGCAACAAAAAATATTCTCTGTCTAACAAATATCCTCAAGGGGTACAAGTTTTTCTGTTTTACCTTACGTCACATGACCACATTTTCAAACACTGATAAAAGTAAAGCATGAAAAGACACAAACATTATTTACCACAGTACTGTTTAAGCAATGTATTACCATTCCAACTTTTTGACAAACCAACATTTTCCCAACAACTCATCTGCAGTTCTCAAAGTACAAAGAGGATTATATATATATATCTCCTTCTTAATTAGTTTGTCTCAATTAGAGTTGGTCACAAGAACTACCTGGATTAATTTGGTACTCTGTGGAATGAAAGAAATCACTGAGCTGTCTCAAATGGATTAGGGAAGCTGGTCAGGCGAGTTGATTAGTATTCAGGCAATCAGTACTGCCATCACTGCAGACCATTCTGGAATGGTTACTTCAACTCTGTAGCCCAGACTGCTGGATGTTGTTTTTTTATTCTAGGCTAGACACCCATCCCTATCAGACCTCCACTTACACAAGGCCAAATAATGAGTGAGTTTGGTAAAAGGTTAAGTGAAATGGGACTTCATGTCACATTAAAGATTATTGCACTTATGCATGTGTTTGTGTTAGAGCTGGGACGGGTAACTCGGGTAATTCGGGTACGCGGGTCAGGTGGTTCCTGAGAAGGACCCAGATACCCACAGGACTACCCGGACCTGTGGTTAGTCATGTGATATATTGTTTAATGGCAAATATTATCTAGACCTTCCATGGTTACACTAAAAGTGACTAATGTTTGCATTTCTTTCTGACTCTGCACGCATTCCTTCTAACTGTCTATGTCTGAAAGGAGATTAAACTGCAGTCAACTTCAGTAATGCAGGCAGGACCAGATCGTTTTATACGAGTATCTAAATACATTTTGCCAGGGCTACAGTCAAACAATTCTCAATGGGACATTTGAACCTATTTCTTCAGACCAACAGCAGGTACCCGGGTAGGGTAGGGTAATAGGGGGATGGGTACCTGGGTAGTAAATTTGGACTTGTCCCAGCCCTAGTGTGTGTATCCAAAAATGGAACTAAATAATTTTTTCATGCCCCTGCCATCCACCATGCAAATCCATCTTGCTGACAATGCTGTACATAAATACTGAAAGAAAGATAATGCAATTGACTGATTGAGTGATTGAGTGAGTGAATGTTGTTTTATAACCAGTTACCAATACTCCAGTGATGTTGTGTGGCTTATACATAATCCCAGTGGTTACCAGCATGAGCAGACCCGTGAAGATCTGGGGTAGAAAAGGTCTTCAGCAACCCATGCTTGCTGTAAAATGCAACTAACTGGATAGGGTGGTCAGACTCGCTGACTTGGTTGATGCATGTCATCATATCCCAATTGTGTGGATCGATGCTCATGATGTCAATCACAGGATTGTCTGTTCCATATTCAATTATTTACAGACTGCTGTCATATAGTTGGAATATTGCTGAGTACAGCATCAAACAACAAACAAACAAACAAACAAACAAACCAGCATCAGCAATGATCCATGCCATCAAACAATCAGCCAGGTCAAAACGTACATACTACTCAAACGAGGGCATGCCATGACAGATGGCCAGCATGGGTTGTTGAAGACCTATTCTAACCCATTTTCTAACCCATTTTCGGGGTGGTCGGGTCACCAAGTGGATTAAGTGTTCGCTCGTCATGCCGAAGACCCGGGTTCGAATCCCGACATGGGTACAATGTGTGAAGCCCATTTCTGGTGTCCTACGCCGTGATATTGCTGGAATATTGCTAAAAGCGTCGTAAAACCACTCACTCAAACCCATTTTCACGGGGCTGGTGGTGCTTAACTTCTTTTGAGTAGTGTATGTATCACCAAATTGTCCTTCACCTTACGACAAGCACTGGGTACTGGGAACCTTTTCTGCCCAAGAATTCCATCGGGGTCACAGTATAATATATCCAACAGGGTCATGGAAGTTGTGGTGTGAACAAAATTACCAACAAAACATTCTGCAAATGAAATCATGATGACAAAATATTATGGATAACTTAAAGCAGCAGTGACCTACCTAATGGATCTATTTAGAAGTGATGCCCTACGAAGGATGGCCCTGGCTTGAGCATTGGTGATACGCCTCATGCTTTCGTTGTTGACGAGAACCATGTAGTCCCCTACTGCAAGGCGGCCATCTTTAGCCAAAGCGCCACCATCAACGATGGTTTTGATAACACAACCATTGATTCCCCGGTCCACTGCATCAACAGTCAGACCTGCAACAGTGCACAGAGTGGTAAGCACGAAGTACGAAGATGCTGTTTTAATTATCACAAATAAAGAGGAATAAGAAGCCACTTACTTACGTCAATGATTTTGGGGACCTATTCTGTCCTGGAATCCAGCAACAGACATGTATAGGGTTTGGGGACCTATTCTGTCCTGGAATCCAGCAACAGACATGTATAGGGTTTGGGGACCTATTCTGTCCTGGAATCCAGCAACAGACATGTATAGGGTTTGGGGACCTATTCTGTCCTGGAATCCAGCAACAGACATGTATAGGGTTTGGGGACCTATTCTGCCCTGGAATCCAGCAACAGACATGTATAGGGTTTGGGGACCTATTCTGTCCTGGAATCCAGCAACAGACATGTATAGGGTTTGGGGACCTATTCTGTCCTGGAATCCAGCAACAGACATGTATAGGGTTTGGGGACCTATTCTGTCCTGGAATCCAGCAACAGACATGTATAGGGTTTGGGGACCTATTCTATCCTGGAATCCAGCAACAGACATGTATAGGGTTTGGGGACCTATTCTGTCCTGGAATCCAGCAACAGACATGTATAGGGTTTGGGGACCTATTCTGCCCTGGAATCCAGCAACAGACATGTATAGGGTTTGGGGACCTATTCTGTCCTGGAATCCAGCAACAGACATGTATAGGGTTTGGGGACCTATTCTGCCCTGGAATCCAGCAACAGACATGTATAGGGTTTGGGGACCTATTCTGTCCTGGAATCCAGCAACAGACATGTATAGGGTTTGGGGACCTATTCTGTCCTGGAATCCAGCAACAGACATGTATAGGGTTTGGGGACCTATTCTGCCCTGGAATCCAGCAACAGACATGTATAGGGTTTGGGGACCTATTCTGTCCTGGAATCCAGCAACAGACATGTTTTGGGTTTGGGGACCTATTCTATCCTGGAATCCAGCAACAGACATGTATAGGGTTTGGGGACCTATTCTTTCCTGGAATCCAGCAACAGACATGTATAGGTTTAGGGACCTATTCTGCCCTGGAATCCAGCAACAGACATGTATAGGGTTTAGGGACCTATTCTGCCCTGGAATCCAGCAACAGACATGTATAGGGTTTGGGGACCTATTCTGTCCTGGAATCCAGCAACAGACATGTATAGGGTTTGGGGACCTATTCTGTCCTGGAATCCAGCAACAGACATGTATAGGGTTTGGGGACCTATTCTTTCCTGGAATCCAGCAACAGACATGTATAGGGTTTGGGGACCTATTCTGTCCTGGAATCCAGCAACAGACATGTTTTGGGTTTGGGGACCTATTCTGTCCTGGGATCCAGCAACAGACATGTATAGGGTTTGGGGACCTATTCTGTCCTGGAATTCAGCAACAAACATGTATAGGGTTTGGGGACCTATTCTGTCCTGGAATCCAACAACAGACATGTTTAGGGTTTGAGGAACTTTTCTGTCCTGGTATACCCACAGGGAGACAAACATGGGGTAGTAGAGACCTTTTATCTTCAGTATCCAGTATTTGGGAACTTGGGACCTATTTTCCCCCATGGTCCCCACAGGGAGACAAGAATGGGGTACTTTGGATCTATTCTCCCCGGTAATACAACAGGGGACAAGCATGCATACCAGGGTCTTATTCCCAGAAACATTACAAGAGAGACCAGGGATACTTGGGATCTATTCTACCCAGGAATTCTCACGGATCATGTGTTGACTGCTCACCTAGCTGGTCATTGCCTTTCTGCACCTTGATATTCTTCTCATACGAGGTGGGAATGGCATCAGTGCTAGCTGTCCTCCAGCCCCGGGTCAGGCTCGGGGACGCCAGGGGGGACATACCAGGGGAGGCGGTACTGCGGGGTGTCGAGGGGGGCGAGGACACGCCCTTAAGGTCACTTGAGGTGAGGAGGTCAGATGAGGACGACACCTCGCTGTCAGCACTCTCCGACTTCCGATGAGCTACAACCACACGTGGGCTCAACTGAAACAGAAACATCACCATGTCTTTCACGATGTCTTTATAAAACAGCTTAGACAGAAAGCAGCAGGGTGTCCTCTCCTGAAAGAGAAACATCGTGACAACACATTGCAGAATTTCTGTGTGTCTGCAGGACTCATCACCATCATCAACACACAATGCTATTTAGAAAGTGGTCAAATGTAACAAATGTTATATCAAGGAAAACACTTTCTTAGTAAAGAACAGATTCTAGTACTTCTTTGGGTTGAGTCCCATCCAGGATTTCGAACCCACACTGCCATTAAGATAACATGTGGTGATATAATGAATGAAAAAATAAGTGAGTGTTTGAGTGGGCTGCAATTCAGTAATATCAATGTAGATCAGTATTTCAATGATGGTTGAAATGTGATACAGATCTTAGACATTTACCACTTTGAAAATCAGGGCAAATCTCAGAATAAACCTATAATCTAATTATCCTGTTACATAGAAGGGAGGCAACTCTGCACAGTGAATTGTTTTGCCTCAGTTGACAGGATTGTGACATAAATGAAATACTATTCAATATCTAATGAAATACTCAAGCCCTATCAACAGAAACGATTTCATCCCTCAGTACAGACAGTTATAATAGAATAATCTTTCCCTGCCTTCCCATCCTGATTTGAGTTGGGATTAATACCTGTTACAGTTATCAAGACATGTTACTTTAATGTGGGAGGAAAGCACAAAGTGATGCAGGTCTCAGACGATTCACACTTTGGTGAAACCCACGAGCATAGGTTTCTGGGCCCACTTGCACAAAGCGATCTTAGCGCTAAGATGACCTTAACTCCCATACTTTAACAAAGGCTTACAATAGTTGTAGCGCTAAGATCGCTTTGTGCAAGTGGGCCCTGGTGTGCCCAAGGGACACAACTCTGTACCTTGAATTGCGGCACCTTCAATTAAACAACAGGGCCACCTGCCACACCTCCCCCCCCACCCCCTTAAAATAATCCTACAGTACAGACCAGGGAGGGTTGGGCAGCCTGGTGGTTATAACCTTGGCCTGTCATGTTTTTTTTCATATTGCAAAACCAGTATCACAAACAATACTCACTCTACACTCAAAATTCAGCAATGATGACATACAGCGATGCATATCAACAAGTGTCCATTCAATGGTCCCCCATACTTTCCATTCAAACACACTGATAAATCAACATTAATTTTCACAAACAACAAGTTACAATTAAACCAACATAATAATTTAACTTTTGAAACTTCAAAATGTGTTCACAATGACCAGCATAAAGAACAGAGAGCTCTCACCTGCAGTAGCCTGGCCTCAACACTGAACTGAAACTTTCTTGCTCCCTCTCGGTCTCATCTACAGATTTGATAAGGAAGGCCTAAACACTGCCTATTAATACATCAGGCTTGACATCTCATCAAAACAGGGTTCGGACTCCTGCCATATTACGACCAACTCTTTCAAACATTCATCGGGCAGGCCAATACATGCAGATCGTGTGTAACAAATCGGGGTATTGATTCAAGACTGAAATACTCTATCTGACCCAGTGGAGAAAGTTGATCACGATTGTGCTCAATGTGTTGCCCAGTTGATGTTTGGACAAGTCTTGCTCGAGGATGTAAGACTGATAAGATTTATATCGATTTTTTTTTCTTCAAAAAGCTAGCCATATACTTTTCACACAACTCAGCACTTAGGAATACATACTTGGCAGATATATATCAGTTGTATGATTCGAGAGACTAAAAATATTTTTGAACACAGGATATCCATTAAGAATAAAATCCTAAAAAAATAATATTTTTTCACATAGAGCTTTCTTATGTTTTATTTAAATGACCCACAGGGTTGTATGAACTCATCCGATGGTCAGACACCATAAACCTCACAATTCAATATCCTTAAAGATGCCAAAATCAAATTTCTATGATTTCATAGAATTTTAATTTTATTAATGGTGGCTGAAAAGTTTTGAGCCCCCCCACTGCAAAGAATTAAACACCGATAACATCTTGCATGTTTTGACTACAATACTGTCCATGCTTACAGGCTGCAGATGAACCAAATACAAAACCAGGCAGCAAATTTCTGCAGGCATCAAAGTCACTAGATATTCTCTGTTGATGAAAATGGACAAAATGGGCAACTGAGTTGTCATCAAATATCTTCATCTGAAAGGGCTAACTCCAACAGCCATACATGCGGACATGGTGTCAACTTTAGGGAGCGATGCTCCTTCCTTTGCCACTGTCACACAGCATCATTGGCAAAAGTGGGAGGAAAGCCCGAAGTGATGCATGTCTCAGTGAGTGAGTGAGTTGTGTTTAACGCCGCTTTTAACAGTATTCCAGTTATATCACAGCGTGTCAGCTTAATGTGAGAGGAAAGCCCGAAGTGATGCAGGTCTCAGACATTTACATCTTTGGTGAAACCCACGAGCACGGGTATGGTGCTGACAAACCTAGAAACATAATCGGGGCAAACCGGGAATCGAATCTACTGATGATGAAGATGATGATGATGATGATGATGATGATGATGATATTTCTCATTTGAATGCTTTAAAATAAATATTATACTTAAACCGAGCTAAATTTATCAAACCAAATGACTATGTGGTACACTGCTTCTGCTCACAAATTAACAAAAGAATAATTAATCATCACCTTGTTAATAATCACATAAATTATTTATTTTTTGCCTTGATTTACTGCATGTCTTGTACATAATTAACTTCAACTGACAATCCTCCACAAAACAATTCCAGCTTTAACTGATCTCAAACGACAAGATTACCCCATTGCATGACACTACACATTCAGACTGAAAATGCTATGATTCACAATTAGGCTGTCTAGTGACAGCCCTGACTTACAAATGAGGACGAGAGATTTGATAAAGTCCTTTTGTGACCAGGGAACTAAAGCCATGAAACGTGAAGCCAGATTTGCGCTGATACTGGTGGTTACCTGTGAAACCCTACTTGAAGCATAAAAAAACCATTCACTCTGACATAAATGCTGTTAGTTCCGATAAACTTTTTATCTCCTAGTCATAGGTGCAAAGGTCAGCAAACTTATTTCAATATGTTTTTTATACTCCAATGTAAAAGCCATTATTTGTGCAGATGATGTCGACGGAGATTAACGTTACTGAGCAAAAATCAATAACAATGATAAATCACTGGAGCAAACTGGTCAAAGTTGATTTTGATTTGTTTTTAATGGTGCGTAAATGCCATGACTGCCCAAACAGAGATGTATATGTCTCATTGGATGAAATTCCTCGAAACACGGAACGCTCTGATGCTTATGAAAATGATGTTATAGATTCAAGGATGAGAACACCGTCATGTTTTCGCAATCATCATTGAAGACTGGTGATGAGAAACAAGCTGTAACTTTCTGGCTGGTTTAGCATGAGTTTTAAAGTGGATGATGAAAGCTTTCTGATGTAACAGGGAAACACAAAATACAAATTACAACTTCTAGTTTCCCTCAAAAGGCCAACTGGCTTTACATATACTACTCAAAAGAAGTTAAAGAACACCTGATTCTTTCATATTACTATACAGTAGAACACAGATATAACGAACTACAAGGGACCAGAGAAATAAGTTCGTTATATCCGTTGTTCGTTATACATTTTTTCGCTCGGAAACGTCCGCCATCTTGGATCAACAGCATTAATAATTCTCAATTTTGTGTCTAAACTGATAGCTTTCCTCTTACTATTGCCCGCCATGATAGCATATGCAAGTGATCTGACACTTGGACACAATCTCGTAATTTGTTTATGTTTAATGTTTGTTTTACAGACAAGATTACATAACACAATGCAAATTAAACAAGGTTGATCCGTCACCGCTGATTGTATTGATTCGCCACTGATTGCATACAGCCAATTGTCAGTGACACTTGACACTGAGTGAGATTTCTCAGTTCGCTATACACGTCACTAATTAGTGATAGATGGGCTTGTCGGTGATCAGATATCAGTTCGCTATATCCGTTAGTTCGCTGTAGAGAGTTCGTAATATACGTAAATTTTATATGATATTATATAGGAGATAAATCGGGGATTTTTTAACAGTTCGTTGTATCCGTTTCTTCGCTATATCCGTGTTCGTTATATCCGTGTTCTAATGTAGTTTATCTGTCATGCCATGAAGGGTTAACTATAGTCACATGAAAAGAATGGGTGTTCTTTAATTTCTTTTGAGCAGTATATCAAATAAGGCGGAATGGAACCTGAAGTCTGGACTTAAACACACTTGCAGCTTTGCCAGCTATTGACCCTCAATGAAGCAAGGATAACTGGGCCCCGTTCCACAAAGTGATCGTAGCACTACAACTGTTATAAGTCTATGTTTAGGTATGGAAGTTACGATCACCTTAGCGCTAAGACTGTCGTATATAATCTATGTTATAAGGTGTGGAAGTTATGATCACCTTTGCACTACCAACGTCGTAAGTCTATGTTAAGGTATGGGAGTTACGATCACATCAGCGCTACGACTGTCGTAAATCTTTGTTATAAGGTATGGAAGTTATGATCACCTCAAGGTATGGGAGTTACGATCACATTGGCACAACAGTCGCTTTGTGGAATGAGGCCCTGGGCCCCGTTCCACAAAGCAATCATAGCGTTACGATTGTTGTAAGTCATCGAGTTACGATCGGCTTAGCGCTAAGATCGCCTTGTGGTAGGGTCCCTGGGCAAGATAAAAGTTAGCTTATAAAAATATTCCAGTTACATCTTATCCATGGATTTCATTGATAACAAGTGAAGAGTGAATTCATCAATGACAATGTTGAAATATACTATTCAACTTTTGATAAGGATATACTATTTATTTCCTGATTTGCTCCACTTATGTCAATATTTATAACATGTAGACGTTGTAGCATGAAGTATCTCAGTACCCTTATCAAAAGTTGAGTAGCATACATTTGAGTGAGTAGGCTGCTTTCAGCAACCTTCCATCCATTGACACCAATACTGAGCTCACAGAGCTTATCCATGTTGGGAAGTGAACTCAGATCTTCACTGTACCAAGTAGGGCTGGGACGAGTCCAAATTTACTTCCCGGGTACCCACCACCCTATTAACCGACCCTACCCAGGTACCCGCTGTAGAAATTAAGAGATAGGTACAATAAAACCTGAAGTTTTATTTTTATTCCAACATTTCAAAGTCAGAAGTAATGGGTGCAGTGTAACCATGAACTTATCGTGTAACCATAGAGTTTTAGATAATTTTTAGATAAAACAATATATCACGTGACTAACCACGAGTCTGGGTAGTCCGGTGGGTACCCGGATCCTTCTCAGTACCTACCCGACCCGAGTACCCGAGTACCCAAGTTACCCATTCCAGCCCTAGTACCAAGTGATTGATTTTTGCACCTACTAGGTCAAAATTCAGAACACCCAGGGTGACAGACAGCAGAAACTGTCCTGACAGGCAATAAACATTAAATAAGATAAGGGAATGAAGTTATTGTTACAGGTCACACTGACCTAAGACTTCCTGTTCAACTTACCCTGGATTCGAGTTCATAGGCTGGCGTCTCTGTGAGGGGTGGAGCTGCCGTGGGGGGCGAGGTGATGGGGAGAGGGGGAGGGGGCCCATCGTCCTGCAAAGCATAGAGGTCACATATGAACACAACATTAAACACATGAACACAACATTAAACACATGAACACAACACTACACACATGAACACAACATTACACACACGGTTTAACTGCTTATAAAAACTAGGGGATATTACAGTGGGTCATCCATTCAATGGGAGGCTAAAATTTAATACTTCAAAATTCAATTAGATTTGAATAGTTCTTAAAGAGTGCAAAATATTGTTCACGGTAGAGACTATGATTAAGCCAACGTGAACATATTTTTGAAAATCAGTGTTATTAACATTACAAATAACCTAATAATGCATTAATGGATATTATGTTGTCAAGTTTTATGATTATTTGTGCGAGATATTTTTGTTTTTACTTTCAGTCTCTCATACCAGGAACAACACCCTAAACAGGCACTTGATGAGTGAGTGAGTGAGTGAGGTTTTACGCCGCTTTTAGCAATGTTCCAGCAATATCACGGCGGGGGACACCAGAAATGGGCTTCACACAATGTACCCATGTTGGGAATCGAACGCGGGTCTTCGGCGTGATGAACTAACGCTTTAACCAATAGGCTACCCGACCGCCCCGGCACTTGATGAAGGAACTTTCATATAATCAAGTATTGATGTATGGGTTAAACCATGGCCAACATTCATAGCACCTCAAATGCTTCAAAAACATTGTTTTGTTAGGGGTATTTTGAAAGATATTCAGGAACTCTATGCTTAACTGTGACAACACTGTGTGAGTTGGCCATGCGTGATGCACATGAAATATGTTTCCAAGCCTTTCGCACGTGCACCTCGCACTTTGCCGACTCTGGTTATGAAATGCATGTTCCGGGGCAAGTATATCATCCATTTTGGACCAACTCGATTTATCAATAACCTAAATAATACTTGCTCATGTTCATGGGCCTGATATGAGCAAACATAGCCATGATAAAGATAATAGTAATATCTTTTCAATCGAAAAGTTACCAAATCACACATACGTACAATGCATAGAGTTACATAAAACATACTGTCATTAAATTACTTGATCACATTGATTTAAATCATGAAAGATTTGGAAAGTATCTGTTGACGCCCAGCTGACGGAACAAATGCTTTGCAAATCCTGCAATTGACCTAAATCTGCACGACAATTTATGAACCGGATGTCAAATTCATTCTACAATTTTGATTGGACTTTACATATACTTGATAGTCCAGCCAAAACATAACTCCGAAATTCCAGCCTAGTTTGGCAAAGGTGGAAACGAGACTTTTATAGTCAGTTAACTCCCTTGATTCTGGAAGATGTTTATCAGCCTGATGTGGGTGGAAATCCTATTGTAGTGCAGGTGAAACCCACAAACATGATATTGTTTGCTTGTTTGTTTGTTGTTTAATGCCGCACTTAGCAATATTTTAGCTATATGATGGCGGTCTGTAAATAATAGAGTTTCGACCAGACAATCCAGTGGCTGACATTATGAGCATCAATCCACACAATTGGGATATGATGACAAGCATCAACCAAGTCAGCGAGACTGACCACCCGATCCCGTTAGTCGCCTCTTATGACAAGCATAGTCGCCTTTTATGGCAAGCAAGGATTGCTGAAGACCTATTCTACCCCGGATCTTCACTGGTCTCAAAAATGGGTATGGTGCTGGGATTTAAGCCCATGGTCATAGGATTCTGGCACACCCAAGGGATGCATCCCTACACAGAAACCTGTAGCCTAGAATGACTGGGCCACCTGTTCCCCCAATTAAGTAAAACTAATCCAGAACACAACACTTCTGTGAAGTTGTTGATGTCAGAGAGTCCCTCCTTCAAATAGGCTGCCCAACACCACTGGGTATCACATGCCAGATCCGTCACACCATATGGTGCAATTCACTATATACATCTCACTGCAACACCTGATCTCCTGCACTCTCTCGTCCTACCCTTGTATGATCACGCATACCATCTTCTATAACCGGGCATTGAAACACGAACCATTGAAAACTGAACCACAAACATGTCATTGTAAGCATGCATGTGTTTTGTTGTACCAGAAGGACATTTCACAAAGCCAACATAGCTCTATGGTGGTAAGGTGAAATGGGGTTTAACGTCACGTTCAAGCTCATTGCACTTTTAAAGCGACGTGCATGCACATGTGTGTGGCTGCTTGCACTAGTCCAGACTGATAACAATTTATAATGCTAGCCACTGTGATACCATGCCGTAGATTAACATGACTACCCCACTCAGACACAGTATACTGACTTCAAGCCAACCAATCCTTGTTTTAGCCCTTTAACTGCTGAGTACCAGGCAGAGTAACAACAAGTACCATCTTTCAACTTCTTTTGGTATGACGCAGCCAACCCAGCAGCAACCCGTTCTCTACTAACACAGGGTTCCCTGTGCTACCGGCAGGGCAGGACATGCTTACCTGTTTTGTGAACACCTGGTGTCATCACCAATTTTCAAAGATCCACTTACATTATTTTCACTGGTATTGGGTTGCTATTCGGGAACAACTAATTGTGTGTAATGGACAGTGAAGAGGACGTCTGTTGAAAATCTGAAAATTTAGTTAGTGTGACTGAAGCCAAAATACAGATGTAATAGAGGTAGAGGATTCGCAAGAATTATATTATTTTCGATGCTATTTTGCCTTTTACGCCTAATGAAATCTGTTTGGGCAGATAATCAAGTTATTCTCTGGAGTTGATGTTTTATATTTACGCTGACTTCGCATGTCTCCAGCTTTACCACCTCCGGACAGAGCTCGGTGGCGTTCCTTCTACACATCAACACTTATGTAATGATAGTTTTCTTGTGATATGGCCTGACAATTGTATAGAGTGTATACAAGGATGTTCAAGGATAAACCAAATCAATCTGGCAAACAAGAGAAGACTTGCCAGAAAATCGTTCCAGACTATCAGTATACCAGCCGACACAAGTAATCATTATCAGCACACAATACAAGGAGTCTCCAGAGGAGCCCAGTTTATACATCGGAGCAAATTACATCATGTTTCTTTCCAGACATCTGCCATCATCACTTCACCATGCACAGACATCTAATGGGAACACACCAGCAGCTTTTCAGTATAGACATCAGGCAGGAAATATATGTTCTATGTGCAGTAAACATGCTCACAACAAACTCTACATGACCATTGAAATCTGGTCGTAATATCTGTAGTTCATTACATGAAAAACTTATTCCCCATATTCAATTCCCTGCTATTCGAACACACGTACAGATCTGTCACTGTGCTGGATGTCACAGACAGACTTGGTACTCAAATTTATTTAAATTTCCACTCTCAGGTGGAAAATCAGTTTGCTGTAGCCATTAATTTGTTATACAGAAATTGTTACTTTTAGAAGATATTGTTCAGTAAAATTTATATCAATTTCAGCTCATGCTAGAAATTATTCATATTTTAGGTCCCTTTCTGGTCAATAAATAAGTTTGCTGAAGGCATTAATTTGTTTTATTACCTACGAGGGCAAACATATCGGGGTTCATAAAAATCATATGCGCCCTCTGGTCATATCACATCAAGTGACAACAGTGTATTGTTTCTGTCATCTGGACGGCATTGTGACGTCATTTGAATCTTATTGTGACGTGAGGTCAGAATGACGTTACACTAGAAAGGATGTCATAGCTGAAGATTGTTGACGTCATTTGACAAATTGTGGTTCTGCTGCTGTTGTGACTTGCTGTCCTTAAGGTAAACACTAACATTCGTCTCTGTATGTAGACATCTTCTTCGGTAATAAATAGAACATCATATTTGTGTTCATGACATACTATGTTTACCACACTTATACCTAAATTCCGGTATTTAGACACTCATGTCGGAAACAAAGTATGACATGAACACAAATATAATATCCGCTATATATAAAATTTGTTCCATTTATATGTATGATATAGTGAAGCTGTTTGTCTTTTGAAATAGTTCACTGTCACCAATAGTGACCAATAGTGCCCAATAGTGACCAGAAGTGACCAATAGTGACCAGAAGTGACCAATAGTGACCAATAGTGCCCAATAGTGACCAAAAGTGACCCAAAGTGACCAAAAGTGACCAGAAGTCCACCAGTCCCATACTGATTACAACCTTGTTCAACTGTACTTTATTCTGTCACGTTCACAAATAGTGACTTTTGTTATCAAACATAATCAAACAACTTTCAATCCTACCAACATTATCATATTTCATCCAACCTTCAATGATGCCTATCATTTTAACCCAATTTCATCAAATAATTATCTGATGCATACAGTATTACCAAATATTGATCAAAACTATTATAATCTGGTCATCATTATGAGAAACTTTGCCAAAATCAATCATAAAACAAATTACAATGTCATTCAATATATAAAAATGGTCCTACACCTCCCCATGTCATACCTGCGATATGAACAGGGATGTACTAACAATTCCAAACTGCCAGTGCCCTTGGCAGACAAATGAGGACACAGTCATTATTTTGTTAAAAATGGGATGTTTTAATAGGTTCTTATTTACTTACACTCAAAGGTCTTATAACAATGTATATTAACATTACATTTGACAAAATAATGTTAAACTAAAATCAAAGCCTCTTATTCTTTATTGGTCTAGCTATCAGTGAAATACAAGCTACGTCGAAAAGGCCATCGCATTATTTAAACTATACTGGATATGTTAAACATGAAACGGAAACTTCTTAATTTGTGAATTTTTACTGACATTTGCTTCAGACCAAGAGATAAATATCTGCCTTTGAGCAGGTCTAGATAAACCACATTATCCTACACAGCAAACTTCAACACGCACCACCACCAGCCTCTAATTAAAAATGACCAGTTAAGCTGTTCTAATGCACAGACATCCAGCAAGACATGCATGAACAACTAAAATCAATCTAAGTTTCCCAACAGAAGTGTTTTTGAACAAGGTTTCTAAAAACTCAATTTTGAAAATATAAATGTTTTTGTTACCAATAT